ACATTTTTTATACCAGTATCCAGTCTGGGTTTACACCATCTCCTTAAATCTCTGAACATCTACATTAGCCACAACTTATTATTTAATAGTACATAGTCTTTTTTCTTGTTTTTATTTTCTCTCCACAGATTACCCAGAGAGGCAGTCCTTCTAGCATTCATATATCTCAAGCTCTATTCCAAAATTTCAGTCTTTCTGGTCTGGTTTTCAGAAAGCTCAGGCTGCTTGTTCACATTTACAATTAGATTGCAAGCTGTTCTTCTTTTTCAGCTGGCACTCTCAAACCAGTTAACCCTAGACTGGCCACCTTGTTTTGTGCTACACCATCTGCATCTTTTATTACTCTTACTTTCATTTTATTTTCAATTTCTCATGATTTATTATTAGCATCTTTTATATATGCTTATATCTAGTCAGCTGTTGTGTCAGCCACCAAAAAATTAATAATATGAATCAATTCTTGTGAGCAGCAAAATCATTTTATATTTCTAAAATGTTGAACCCCCATCATAAAAATGCCACACAGTATATTGGTTAAGACTTGAGCTTTGGATTTGCTATTGAATCCCACAGGATTTGAGTTAATTTCCCACCCAAAAAATTGCAAAATCATGGATTTTTGGTATTTTGATATTCTATTTGACATTCATATAAAAAAAAAGGATTATTCAAACATTTCCACTGCAAAAATAACACAATCAAATGCCTGCAGTAGAAATTTAGCATGCTCCAGCCATGCTGCCATCCAAACTCCACCTGTATGAATATTTAGATGGTTTGACACATGCAGTCTGCACAGTTACTGTGCAACAAAGCTTGGTTGAATCACTCTTTTAGAAAGGCTGGAGAAACTACAGAAGATTCACAGGAATTTCTGCATGTCAAATGCAAGCATTTGAACAAGTTTTTTTTTCAGTGTGCTGTATTTAGAAACAAGTATAATTCTGAAAATTCTTGATTCACATGTTTTAGTTTCATTCTGTTTTATTTCACAAAATGTATGAAAAATTAAAAGGATTTATCACATGGAATGATCAGTTCCTTGGAATCCAGTGCACTTCAAGGCCTGTGAAAACCACTCCAAAATATAGTTTACACAGCTCACATGACAACTATGAAGATATGGCATGAAAAATGGTTTTTTCTGAAATCTCAATTGTGAGGATTTGCCCAATAGCCTTGGAATGGCCCTAATGGGTTGGAACTAGCTCCTTGTGGAAGCTTCAAGGCCATGAATTGCGCAGATAATACATGGGGACCAAGGGAGGGCCTTACAATCTTTAAGGAGATACTCTTCCCCCATTTGGGACTATTCCTCCTCATTATTAAGTACAGTTAAGTTATAATTTACAAAGGAAACTTCCTTCTCTTATAATTTAGAGTAATAGCCTTTTCTTTCTTATTATTATCTTATAATAAACCTCCACCCTCAATAACTTACTATGCATCTCCAGAAAACTGTTCAGGTTTCCACTTGCGCTTGTCCAGATTATGATTCCAGATGTCCTCTTGTGGAATGCTGCTGTCCTCTTACAAGCCCATCTGTCCCTAATTAATATTTTATGTCCTTTTGTTTACTCTTGCATGTCCTGATCTTGAATGGATATGGTCCATTTGATCAAACAAAAGTCACACTGTTGACTGATCAAGATGTCCTGTTTTCTACTACACAGGACATTACTTTTTTGTGATTCAAATATCTTTATCGCAGTGGCTAACTTTGGGGTGTAAAAAACAATTGCTTGTATTTTTTTTTTCTGATAAAAACTATTTTTGCATACATAAAGTGAGGTTAACAAAAACATTTGATAACTGCTTGATTACACATTATAAAAAATGCATCAAAAAATTAAGGAACCAAGAGAATTTGTTTGTGTATTTACTGCCTGGCTTTTACATGGGACCCCAGCTCCCTTTGAAGATCTTTGGCCTCTTTGTCCTGCCCTCAAGAACAATAGTAGTGCTTGATATGGATGGTCCCACCACATCTGTTGGAATGTCGGAGCCAATTGCTTCCGGGAATATTTTCTAGAAGAATACCAAAATGAAACAAATAAACAAAAATTGAAAGGCAATATATAGAGAGGAAAGAAAGATGACAAGGCGTAGTTGAGTGGAAGACAAACCAAATCAGCAACAGTGAAAGCTGTAATCCAAACAATATGTGTGGACAGGTTCAGGTCTATGGCTGACCTCAAAGACGCAAAAAAATGATTGTGTCATCCACCCCCCCTGTCTGGGTGTTGAGCGCACCTGTCAAGGGATTGACTCAAAATGCCGCTGTGGAAAGAAAAACTGTCTCAGTAGGTAACTAAGTGTTCTCCTCCGATGTTTATTGAGTGCTCTTTGGTTCCACTGTGGAAAACTTCAAGATAGGTAAGTATTATTCTTTGACTCCAATAACAAACACTCCCTTTTTACTGACCTTTGCACACTGCAACCCAGAAAGAGACTGTGAATGTTCTGCCTTTTGGTGATTCTGAAGCTTGAGCCCCCAATTTTCCCTCTTTTTTTGGCTGTGGTTGGTTAATGGATAGATACAAG